TCCTGTTAATGCCTAAAGGATGAATATCAGGCTTTTTTTTCTCCGAATTGCTTACCGATTCACTTCCTGTTTCCAAGCTACAGAATGCCTCAGCTCCCGGGTAACAGCAGTTCACACGAACAGGCTGCTGTGTCTTATGCGTCGGAATCCATTGTCTCCATCGCCATCTTCATCATCGTTTTCATCATAGGCGTCCCAGGCAATGGACTGGTGATCTGGGTGGCTGGTCTGAAAATGAAAAGGTCTGTGAACATTGTGTGGTTCCTCAACCTCGCTGTGGCTGACCTTATGTGCTGCCTGTCCTTGCCGTTTTCCATCGCTCACCTGGCGCTCCACGAACACTGGCCGTACGGTTGGTTCCTCTGCAAAGTCATTCCATCCGTGATAATCTTCACCATGTTTGCTAGCGTCTTCCTCCTCGTGGCTGTCAGCATCGACCGGTGCCTCCTTGTGATGAAACCTGTCTGGTGTCAAAATCATCGAACGGTGAAATTCGTGTCACTAATATGCGGTGGCGTTTGGGTCCTGGCCTTCATCTTCTGCTGTCCCGTCTTCCACTACCGTGAGACTAGCGCTCACGACGGCAAAACCGAGTGCGGGTACGATTTCGGAGATGATGAAGTGCTGGATTATCAGGATGGGTCTGTCAGTGAGTTCTTGGAAGAATACTCCCCTGTAGCCTACAACGGCAGCGACTTATGGGGAGCTTTCTATGAAGACGATTACTCTGTACCCCCTGCCCTGGTGGTGATAAACATTTCCAGGGCTGTCTGTGGCTTTGTGCTCCCCTTCGGCACCATGGCGGTTTGCTACGCCCTGATCACTGCCAGAACACGCGCAAACCGGCTTCACAGGCCGCGCAACAGGATGCTGCGAACCATCGTGCTCGTGGTGGCTGCGTTCTTCGTCTGCTGGTCTCCATACCACGTCGTTGGGATTCTGTCCCTTGTACCTGGTCTCACAACAGGGCTGCGGGAGTCGTTGGTCCTCTGGGATCACCTCTCTACAGCACTGGCATATGCCAACAGCTGCATCAACCCCCTGCTCTATGTTTTCGTGGGGCGGGACTTCAGGGCAAAGGCATGGCAATCAGTGCAGGGAATCCTGGAAGGTGCCTTTACTGAGGAACCAACGCATTCGACCCCTTGCTCCCTGGACAGAAGCAAGACCTCCACAGAGAAGGACGCGAGCAGCACAGTGTGACGCAGGACTTGTGCCCGCCGCTGTGGCAGGAGCGGGGGTGGCCCTGCACGTCAGTCACTCGCCACTTAACAGCTTTGTTTTGCTCCAACACATTTGGTTAATCTGCAGATCTACGCACGAGGCACTGAGATGGTCCAGATCAGAACGGCCAACACTCTTTATTTCCTACTCTAGCGTGCTGGTTCTGGCTGGGATAGTGTTAATTTTCTTCACAGTAGCTGGTACGGGCTGTGTTTTGGATTCGTGCTGGAAACAGCATTGATAACACAGGGATGTTTTAGCCACTGCTGAGCAGTGCTCACCCAGAGCCAGGGCTTTGCTGCTCCTCAGCCCACCCCACAGCGAGGAGCTGAGGGTGCACGAGGAGCTGGGAGGGGACACAGCTGGGACAGCTGAGCCCGACCGACCCAAGGGATATTCCGGACCGTGTGATGTCAGGCTCAGTGTATAAAGCTGAGGAAGAAGAGGGATGGGGGGGGCGTTCAGAGTGATGGCATCTGCCTTCCCAAGTCACCTTAGGTGTGGTGGAGCCCTGGGGATGGCTGAACACCTGCCTGTCCATGGGAAGGGGTGAATGAATTCCTTGTTCTGTTTGCTTGTGCGCAGCTCTTGCTTTACCTATTAAACTGTTTTTATCTCAACCCATGACTTTTCCCACTTTTACTCTGCTGATTCTCTCCCCCATCCCACTGGGGCTTAGGGACCAGATGGAGTTAAACCACAACACCTAGAGAGACTGGAAGTTGGAAGTACCAAGAGTAACAATGTGAGGGAAGACTCTCATGAAGCAGGACGTAGGGAGTACTTGAACCTTTAGAAAGCAGTCTTGCAGAATGATTTGTGGTGGTATCACGTAGTTTAACCTCTGAATTGCTAGATGAGAGTGTCATTAGAGTTATTTGCATATGTCCATGTTCTACACCTCCTGTCTGATAAACTGCAGATGAAACTAACTTTGATGTCTCTCCTTGGGATCTGTCATCCCATCTTTCCCCTCCTTTGCCTATACTTGGGGACTGAGGTTTGGATTTTTTTTCCTGAAGCTTTTCCTTCAAGGGTAGTGCTGCATTTTCTTACAGCAGTGCATTACAACAGAACTGACTTTCATGCCCTGGTAGATACCCAAGATGTTCCTTTGTCCTGGCAAACGCATCACTGTACAGCAGTAACTGCTCCAATGCACACACATGCGCTCCCTCCCTGTCTCCCCAGCATTCCCTCCACCACCACAGTCCCAAATCTTCCTTTTAGGAAGCAACCTGAGATTATCCAGATGTACCTACTGCATTTTAAGATTGCTCACGAGCAGAATTTGAGCAACGGCAGTCACTGTGGGCTGGTAATCCAGCAACGTCTACACCCAAATCCTGTTCCTAAGGTGGGAGTAGGTGGGAACCAAGCCCACCAGACAGGCGCTGCTGAAAAAAAAAAAAAAAAAATGGGATACTGGCACCAAAAGAGTTAAACCATAAACATTCACTTTTTCTTTTTATTAAGAAAGCATGCACAAAAATAAACTCGTGAGACCGCGCCCCTCTCTCCCTGACCACCGACACAAAGCGTGGGGGGCCGCGCCGGAGCCCCTCGGAACGCCGGCTGCCATCCCGCTCCGGCCGAGCTCCGTGCCCGCCCCACGCCTTCCCACGCACTAACACCACGAGTGAGGAACGAGGCTAATTTGCACACTGACCGGCATGTATTTACATATGCAAACGAGGCGCAACTTAATACGCAAATGAGGCAAATATGCAAATGAGGAGCACTTGGATACGCAGAAGGAGCCATCTTGGTTTGGTTTTCTCCCGGTGATGTTTTCGGGCGTCCGCAGGGCCGGTGCTCAGTAACACCCTCTGCCAAGCGCTACCTGGCACCTACCATCTCTCCCGGTTGTCTCTGGTGCCACGTTCCGCGGAAACTCATCGCACGTGCTTCCAAGCTGTATCGTTCCCATCCCGAGGCAGCGGAGACAACACGCTGAAGTCGTCTGGGATTCCTCATGTCTCTTGGAAACACTCAATGACGAACTCCCCCCCCCCAAAAAACACACAATTAAAAAAAAAAAAAAAAAAAAAAAAAGAAACAAAAATGCCCCCACCCCCCCCATTACAATGAGACTCTGTCCACTTCCCTGACAAAGATCCAACTGGTTTATCCCTACAGCAAATTGAAAAAGCAATGCTAGTTCCCCGCCTTCCTGCACAGTAGAGGTTACTACTTCCCCTGCCCCGGGTCTGCCGAGCGGCCGTGGTGGTTTATTCCCGTCCATTGCCAGGGAGAGGCGTTCCAAAACATGAGGAAACAAAAGAAGTTGGACCGAACAGAGCTCTACCAGAAAAAAGGGGAACGCAGGACACAGCTTTGGGGAGGAGGCATCGCCACGCTCACTCCTGCTCCCGCACCTCTTCCACCTTCCTGATTTGCAAGGGCTGACAAAACTTATCCTTTGGGATTTACTCCAGACTCCATCACCTCCCCAGCTGAACTGCAACGGGTCTGACCCACCTTCCTCCCTTTTACACTCGAACTCGGTTTAAAAATCCGCCCCACTTCATCCTCTCTCTTGTAATGCACCTCTTACAAAAACCACTGGGGAGGGCCTCCCAGTTACTCGACCAGAGGGTCCAGCCCCTTGACCAGGAGCCCCCCAGTCCACCTCCACTCGGAGCAGCAGCTCCCTCTTCCCACCATCGGCCCCGTTCACACGGCGGGACCCCACTGACCGAGAATTTGCACCTGCACAACCACAGTCCTGCTGCCGGCACTCTCAAACCACAGGCAAGGAGTCTCCCAGGAAATCCGAGGGGCGGAGGGCCGAGTAACCAGTACTGATGGGAGAAAACTTCCCCATTTGCGTATGCAAGCGAGAGCCTCACCGCGTATTTTGGAGAAGGGCTTGAAGGGGCGGGGGGTGAAAGTAAAAGCTGTGGGGAGCAGCATTTGCTGGATCACACGGACACCCCGGACTGCTGCTGCGACGTGACGAGCACACAGGCTTCACCCGGAGACTGCGACGGGAGCGCGGGATCAGGATTCCCTGGAAATCTCCCTCAGCCCTCACAGATGGCACCGCGGCCCGAAACCCGCTGCTGGAATAACCATCTCCTGTCTCCAAACCCGGGTCCACCCTCCCAGCTCGGCTCGGCTCTCCCCACCTCGGGGATTTCCCTCTCTTTGTACTTGGGAACTCGACTTCTTTTCCCGCTTTTCCTGCTGGCGCAACAAAGTTCACAGAGCTCAGATCACCCCTTGGGCGTCGCTTTAGCCCCCCGACCTTTACGACATTTACAAAACAACATAACTACAGGCTCCCAGGGTCCACTAGGCTCTCTCACTCCCGTAGCCAATACGACAGATTTCCCGG